TATTAAAACTCATTTGAAATTGACTTGAATAATAAACAAACTAAAATTTTAATATATTTTTTAAGTTCATTAAATTTTAATTGTTCAGAAAATTTTAAATAAATTATATTTTATTTCAAACTTTTTTATTTGTAGTGATTTTTTTATTTAAAATTATGTTAATTTTTTATTTTTCTAATCTACCTTGTCTAGATGAATCTAAAGGTAAAATTATTATTTTTTTAGATCAAGACTAAACTGATAAAGCTTCCACCATAATATCACAATCAACTAAAAATTATAATAATAATATACGTAAAATAAAATAAAATAAAAATAAAAATTTAGAACACTTTGCTATTGATAGCTTTGAGAGCATTTCCAATTTGCTTGACATTTTTGGTCAACATCTTCACGTTAGCAAAGAACCCTTCTTGCCTGTACGGCATCAGCAACCGCCTCCTCCGATCTCTCTCCTGCGCCACCGTCACTCCTCCTCCGGCCACCGGCTGCTTCACTCTTCCGGAGACGCAGTAGGTTCCTGCCGGAACTCCGTCGAGCTCATTTCTGCCAAAAATGGGGTAAACAGGAATGATCTCATCGGCAGGGGTGGGGAACTCAAAATCATCATCTTCATCTTCATCTTCGTAGCTCTTCCTTTCTTCTTCTTCTTGGACCCCTGGCATCTGATCAGTCTCAGTTTCGTGCGTTTTACCTCTTAGCTGCTCTTCCAATTCTCTGACCCTGTTCTTTGCACCTTGAAACGCGTTCATAATTTCATATAGACGGCTCTCAAAGTAGCCGTAGTCTTCCTCAATCGCGCTGAGATTCTCCATCAGGAACTTCACTTCATCTCCTTTCTGGGTACGCAGAGAATCCAGCTCAAGTTCTAAACCCCTCATTCGAGCTGATGTTTCACTCTTCTGGGTCTCATGCATCTCGGTGTGACTCGCAAGTTCCCTTTCTCTCTCACCCAATTTCTCCCTCAGCTGGCTACATTCGGTGACAAGTTCTTGTAAAAGCTTTGAATTCTCACCATTCAACGTTTCAGCTTCCATCTTTAAATCACTGATCATCTTCTCTGCTTCCTTCTCTTCAGTAGTTTCTGTCAACTCCCTTTTCAAGTCAGCCACTTGAAGTTCTTGCTTAATGTCATCTGTCACCTCCTGAAACTCATTTTGCAATTCTCCATTTTTACTGCCCTTTTCCTCTGAAGAATAAGCTGAATCCGAGTCTAAGCCGGAGGAAGAAAAATAAGAAAAATAATCTGTATTCCCATCTTTTTCATCCTCAACTAATGTCTTCTTCACCGACTTCCTGCCGCAGCTGCCAAAAATTGATCGAAGAAACCGGGAAAATTTTGAGGGTTTTTTAATAATAGATCGGGGTGGTGGTTGAGAAAAAACAACTTGCTGATCCATTGGGAAAAAAGACACAAGACAGAGATGTAGAGGTAGAGATGTAGAGATGTAGGGAGTGGCTTTTATGGTGAAAGGTAGTTCATTTTTCTCCATATTCTTGCTTTGGTAGGTTCTTTTTGCCATACAAAATTTGGGTATCAAATGGAAAGTATTGACATTTCCATTCCACATTTCCTTAACTCTCTCTCTCTGAGTGTGTGTGTATGTGTGTGTGTGTGTGGGAGATGAAATGTTTCATGATCAACATTTCTTAAATTGCAAAGTAAGCCGAGTAGCTAACATTTTTTGGAGGTAATGGGAGATGAAAATTTCCTTGTAGTCATCCTATTGTGTTATTGTGTTGAAAATAAATTAAAATAAAATTGCTGATTTGCATTGATAGTGGAGTCAGATAAGGTAGGATTTCCATTTCAACTTTCATTTCCTTCATTTCAACTTCATTTCCTAACTCTCTCTCTCTGTGAGAGTGTGTGTGTAATATTACACTCTGGCCCCTTGCATTTTTTATAATTTCACTAAAGTCCTTTCACTATCAATTGTGACAATTAATTTCTTTAATAGTATATAAAAATATGCTATCAATCAGTGCTTTGATGTCATATGTATTGTACTACTAGTCAAAAGACTTGTTTTGGGCATAAGTGTGACAAGGAGACAATGAATGTGTGTTCGACCTCCTAGGTTCTAGTCTTTCAATTAACTCATTTGAGACTCTCTCTCTCTCTCTCTCTCTCTCTCTCTCTCTCTCTCGTGTATTTATTAGTAATATGCACACATTAGCCAGTTATTCGTGAAAGTCACTGCTCTGACATTCTTTTAGAATGTATTTTTGAATGTTGGCCGGTTGTAAATGTCGATTCAAAAATTGACTCTGAGAAGTGATCAGTAAGTTTGTAAATATTTTTTTCAAACAGTAAAATTCAATCGATGGGGTCATAATGGCCCTTTTGGTTCAGCTTCTTGCAAGTTAAAATCTAATAATCAAAGACAAAAGTTAAAATTGTATCTTCCTCAGCATTCCGGTAATTAGTATTTTAAGCTTTTTTTTTTATAAGCTATAATTGGAAGCAACACTAAACACTCTGGCACGCAATTCCAAAATAAAAGAAGCTATCGGCAGAGCTTTATACACTGCAATGATATCTCTGTACTTTTGTAGTTTTGATCAAATTTTTTAGTTTGGTCAGTTATTGTTCACTGTCGAGGGTTTTTTTCTTTGTTATTTTTCAAAAAGCTTTGGTTTGATTGACTTTTAGTGGTCCATTTGTATCAAAGGATAGATTTGATGTCTGGGTACAAGGTATTTTCTCTCATTATTCAGCAGTGTTTACTGTCATCTTTCAATATGGATTTTGTCACAGTTAGTTTTTCAATGATAACTTCTCATTATTGTGTATTTGGTTTATAATATACATGTCTTAGAATCAATTTTCGGATGTGTTGTCATGGTAAGTGCCATTTTACTAATCTTATGCTTACACGTGATTAATTTACTGAATCGTGTACAAGGGGTTGTTGGGCTTGTCTTTGGAAATGAGAATTCTGCCTCAAGTAAGGATAGGTAAATTGTTGATTTATGTTCATAATAACTATTGCTAGAGTGGTGGATTTTGTTTTGTTGATGACTCAAAATATTTATGCAATGCACACCACATAATGCACTGGCGGGAATTCAATTAACAGTAAAGCCATGTAGTAAAAAATTTGTTTAATTTCATAAAATTTGATATGTCACCTGTTGGTGGTATTGGTCCATCCCAACCTCAACTAAAGACTCAGTGATGAAGCAGTGAGTCTCTCACCTGTGGTTTAATTATTTTTCATCATCAACTTGATTCGTTTTGGAGTTTTACATATGGTTATTATGTGTTGATCAAGAGAAAAAGATTCCTGAGGTACACAGGTTTTCATTTTATGATTGGTGTCCCGACTAAGGTTGTTATGAGATATTCGTGGATGTATCTTGATCTGATTTGATGAATATGTTCAAGTTGATACCAAAATTTGGTGCATCTTCTATGTGACTTCATTTATAATTCAATACTCTGAAAGGTCCATTTCTGTCCAACTTATTGTTGTAGTTTTATTGTGTTTAGTGCTAAGATGGTGGCAATAGAACAAAATATAATAGGATGTCTGGATTATGCGTCTTAATTTTTCTTCTGCCTTTTCAGGTGCTGAAAACATTTCCTAGTGCAACGAAATACTTGAAAAGTAAGTTGTATTTGATACAATATTCAGTTTGCATTTGCATGCGGCATTAAGAAATAATACTGTATTCATTTTTTCATATAGCAATTGTGAGTTTTGGCAAGGTTACTCCTGAACAAAGAGAAGAAGTTGAAAAGTTTGGTTTGGCTATATATGCTTGGGATGAATTTTTGTTATTGGTAAGCTACTTCTGTTAATCCATTATTCATTTCATATCTGGTTGTTTTGTTAATAATTTTTTGGTTTTGAATAATGCCCATTATTGTACCACGTGAAATTTGTTTCAAGAAACTAGCAGTTATATGATTTAAATGGAATTTGATTGGTGTATAATTTGTTGAATTCAAAGCAGGGATGCTGGATGGCGTACTGCACATTTTGTATTACAAAAATCATTGTATTGTGCCACTTTATTGCATTTTATGGATCCTTATTTATCTAATAATAAAGTGGTTTGAGGATAACTTAGATGATATGCTGGAGTTGACAGCTGGCACAAGAGGTCACTGGCATTGGTGTGTTTCCATATTGCAGGCAGGCAGTCGTATTGGTTCAGGGTTATGATATAAGGTCAAAAGTCAAAATATGTTTCACTTTAAGATCCAGTTATTTCCATCGTGTTACTTCTATTGCATTTGGTTATAGGATAGGTTGAGTACTATTGACTAAATCTGATGGTGCTCTGAAGTAAATTGTGGTTAAATCTGAGGCATTTTGCACTTGAAATGATGTGTGCTATATATACGTTGTCTCTAGTACTGAATGTTAATTTCAAATATTATGTGGTGCATCCCTAAAAAAATCTGTTCTTGAATTGGAAATTTTTTATAAATCGCCAACTGATCTGATACCATTTCCCCAAGGGGGGCTAAGTATGGATGATACTTCCATTGACTATTTATTACTTCGATTTGAATTTCACCCTATCTGTTTTGTAGGGAGATGATAAACAGTATGATCTTCCAGTAAAAAAGAAAAGTGACATTTGTACAATAATGTATACTAGTGGCACAACTGGTGACCCAAAGGGCGTTCTGATTTCCAATAATAGCATTGGTACTCTTATAGCTGGGGTGAGGTGCCTGCTAGGGAGCGTTCATGAATTGGTAAGCATGTGAATCAATTTACATTCATAAATCTACGTGGCAGGCTATTTATTTGATTTAATCTAAATTATTCTGCTTTATTTAGGATTTCTTGCACATCCATTTGAAAATTTTACTGTTGACTGAAAAGGATGTAAATCTTTCATATCTTCCTCTGGCACATATCTTTGATCGAGTGATTGAAGAGTGTTTTATCAATATTGGCGGCTCAATAGGATTTTGGCGCGGGGTAATATGACTACCAATTCTTTTCCTTCCACATTAGAGTTCAATGTAACAATTCGGTGTTTGTTGCATCTTCAGGATGTCAAACTATTGACTGAAGATATTGGTGAGCTGAAACCTACTATTTTCTGTGCTGTTCCCCGAGTACTGGATAGAATTTATGCAGGTAAGTTTTTTTCTTTCTCAATGGATGCAAATGCAAGTCGGTACACGTTCTGAGCAAAATAGAACCTAAAAGGGACACTTTCATCGGTAGCAGATAATGAAACACAATGGCTTTAATCAACTGCAGTGGTTTTGATCCATCACACAGTAATCAACTAAAATATGAAACAGTAAAAGATTTAATGTTAGTGATTTATTTTTGTGTTCTGTTTTAATTCCAAAAACATTTATGCTCTAGAAAGCATGAAACAAATTCAGTGTATTTTATGTTGTTAAATTTTGATAATTTTTTATTTTGGTCTGCCATGGGACTATTAAAATCTGAATAGAGAACACAAGAAACAGAATGGTTAATGAGGGCAGAGTTAAATTTAAATGCAATTGTGCTCATTTCAGAAGCACATAGTGTTCTTTCATAATTTCATTCTGTTGCAAAACATAACTTCAAGTTTCATGCATTTTATTCTCGAACTCCGGTTCTTATTTTCAGGTTTGCAACAGAAGATCTCATCTGGGGGTCTCTTAAAAAATACTATGTTCAACTTCGCAGACTCATAGTAAGTTGTACTCCGCATCTCTAACCTCCTAGTAAAAGAAAAGAAAAGAAAAGAATACACTACAGTAAAAAAAGGGATATGGTGGCGTTTTTTTAAACGTCACTATTATTAATATTTAACAGCGTTTATAAAACATTGCATATTCTTTTAAACAAAATGACACCGTTTTATAATATGAGGCGTTTAGAAATGCCTCCAAATGCTGTGGCCACACGTGCCTACTTTTGGAAACCCTTATTTTATTTTGAATCTGAGCCATTTCACTCTCCCAACCCTTATACGCACACATCTCTCTCTCTCAACCCTCTCTAAGCTCCATCAAAGATTCAGGTCAAAGAAGATTTAGATCGAAGCGATTTCAACGCTCCATCGAAGATTCAGATCGAAGCTCCATCGAAGCGATTTTGAAGCTCCATCAAAGATTCAGATCTAAGCTCCATCGAAGCGATTTTGAAGCTCCATCGCCAGCACCATCTGCACCGGCGAGGTAGCGAGCTCCACCGTCTCTCTCTCTCTAGATCTATGAAATCAATGTTTTAAGGCATTCTTACTTGATCCTCATTTGCAGAGATTAAGAGATTCAGTGATTTCTAAAAGCACTTCTATGGAGATACAATCTCATTGGCTACTAATCCCAGCTAAACATGTGGGTTTTGGGATTTGCTAGGATTGTTTAGTCCTCTGTATGACATCTTCATTTCTGAAATGAATCCTATCAAGATATGAGACCTCTGCCTTAAAATTTGAAAATGAGCTCTTTTCCACTTCCTACTTGATATTGTTATTTATTTATTTATTTTTGTTTAGATTTCTTTCATCAGATGGTTAACAATGAATGAAATCTTACGGTACATTTCCCCATTTAGCATCCATGTTTATGATATTTCAGTATGTCCTTAATATGGACCGTACCAGTAGACACGACACCACTACGATGTCCATGATCTTCATCTAATGACTAATGTGCATTAATGTGTGTTCAAGGAGTAGAAACAATTCTTAAACATGTTCTTAGCCTTCTCTATGTAATTTGGAAGAAGATGCTGCATCATTCTATCAGGCTCTCTAACTTAAAAAAAAAATTAAATAAAAAATAATGCTATCAGGATCTTTGGAAATTGTGCTTGTGGGTGCTTGTGAAATTTGGATCCATCTAATTTCGAATATTGACCAAAGGTGCTGTCTTGTATATCAAGTTTATATCCAAGCTTCTTCTTCATCAAGGTTCATAATTCTGTATATTGGCCAGCGTACATTGAAAGCAAGTGGTGCTGCTGGAATGGCTCCTCAGCACCGTTGATCATTCTCGGCTACTCTGTTTAGAAGGATGACACAGGTAATTTAAAGTTCCCATTTGAATTTCCATGTTCCGTCATCAAACGAAGTTTTAGTCCTTTCGTTAGTTCAGGTGTTTGCTATTATTTTTATTTACAGAGTTTCCGAGGAACTCCGCAAGGAGTTAATCTTTCCTTTGTAAATGGTGGCCTGACTGGTGGAGCAGAAACTTTACACCAAGTTGAAGCCAAATACCCAGCTTTGCTTTTCAAGCAGTAACTTACAGCATTTGTAGAAAAGATTTATGGAATGATTTGAGATAACCTTAAGAAAGAGATTTCTCCATTGCTTGGGTTGTGCATCCAGGTAATTGAATCTGTTTGTAATTTTTTCAAAGTTGTGGAGTTTGCTGGGAGATCAGTGTAATATACCCTAAATTAAATGACATGTTAGAATCTTGCTAAAGCTTGGATTCCCTCTGACATCTGTCCTCTTCCAGACAGTAGTTGATTTTGCTTGTGACTTGCTGGAAAGATTCAAAACTCTAGCAAGTTTTTTGTTTCACTAATTTCTTATGCTAAGTTTAGATGTTCCACTTCCAGCTGGTGATCACTTAAATTTACATAACCATGTTTGGTTTAAATATGTACAATAATAACCATTATAGAATATTGATTTCCATTCTTGGCCATCGCAGGTGGGCAGTCGTCATTAGCTAACTATTGCACTTATTATGTAGCTTATTCTGATGGATCATGCAATCATGCACAGACATGAATAGTGCTTGAGCACCTGACAGAATGTTGGGTGAGGTGAGAGGACATAGCTGAAGGTGAGATATGCTTATGGAACTTTTTTCAGATTCTCACATTTGAATTCTGCATTGGCATAACTTCTGTTCATTCTTGTAGGTGTATGGCCTCATCATTAGTACGGACTGGGTTTGTAAGGGGTTCCATGACCCAAGGAAATGGTTGTTATCAGCACAGGTGTATAAATAATTCGCTGGAGGTATAATTTGGACCTTTAACTTTGGTTTTTAATACAAGGATTCTGAGCTCATTTATGTTGAATAGAATGGCCGCAACGAAACATTGTATGAGTTCGATTTTGAATTTATTTCCTTCAAAGAATGCTATTGATACCATCTCTTTTAGGACCATTATGGAAAAATTGTCTTTACATTGAAAAACCAATTCCTTGGCAAAACAGCTATAGGAACTGACTTCCTTGTATTGCTATTCATTCTTAATGTTGAAGTTTGAAGACCTTAATTAACTGCTTTATCTTTGTTTTTTGGCATTCTGGAATTATGCAAAGATGTTTGAGCATGGGGTAATTCAGGCATGCTAAAAATCTGTCAGGGACATCAATTAAGGTGTTACCTTCTAATAATAGTATAAAATATGCGCTTATATATGAATTTATGGGTTTTGGGATTTGTGAAGTAAACATTTAATTCCATACTCGTCATTGAAATTCTTTGTATTTTCTTTGTGATATTATGTGCAAAATTCCTCTTGTTAAGGGTAAATAAGTAGTATAGATTATGCCGAACATAACACTCATAGACTAAATTCTTTGTATTTTCTTTGTGATATTATGTGCAAAATTCCTCTTATTAAGGGTAAATAAGTAGTATAGATTATGCCAAACATGACACTCATAGACTCATAGTGTTTTATTTCCTGTCATGATTAGTTTAGGTAGTATGTGGTAGAGTTTCTAACAGAGTGCACAATGTGATCTATCATTTACGTTTTTGGATGGAATGATAGCTTCACATGATATGAAAGCATATTTGCAGTGTAGTTAATGTTCTTAAAGAATTGTGGAATCATATTTTATTGTCTTTTCTTTTTGGTATATTTCAACATACCCATATCTCTCTCTGCTGGGAAATCTACAAAGCTCTCAGCATAATTGCCAGATAAACATGCTTGCTCAGAAATCAGTACACACCTGGGTTCAGGTTAGCAAGTGTTCTACTACTCTAGTTAGTTAGTGTGAGTGTATTTTTGGATCATGTTAAAATTTATCAATAAACCTACCACCACTACCACCTCACCTACTCCACTAAACCTAACCCACTACACTACTACCACCTCACCTATTCCACTAAACCTAACCCACTACACCTACACCTACATCTATATAAGGAACCATTTGTAATAGACACAATATCAATACATCAATCAATATTACATCAATTTTAACTTGGTATCAGAGCAGGTTTAGAACCTAATATTTTCGCTTTCCCGGCGGGCGGCAACCTCACCTTAGCCGCCCGCCGGACCTCAACCTAGTCTGCTAAAATTTTCTACACATACCTTGAAATTTCCTTTCTTTAACCTGCTGAGTGCACAAACCACAGACAGCACACATAGACACATACAATTCTCTCTCTCTGAATCGGCTTCTTTTAAGGCCAAAAGAAAGCCCCTTCCTCTGGTGAAGTATGCCCTGCCCAACCAATCATGGCAGTCTTGACCCAGCACGGGCAGTAGCAATTGATATATATCTTGTGACCATGTGGCAGTTGGTGTCTCAAAGTGAGATCTCAAAGTGAAGTCTCTGCCGAGACTTCTGCTCCGGCGGAAGAAGTGGCGGCGCCACCCAAGGAAGTGGTTGTTGCTGTTGCTGAAGTCGTCGAGAAAGTCACCGCCGTCCGATCCAAACCCTCTCCCGCCAGTCATGCTTGAAAGCCCCAACCATGGGCAAAGGGGGAGCACCTCCCCAGGAACAATGCTCATCCTCATCATCATGTAACCATCTCTCTCTCTCTTAAGGATCATAAAGAAGAAAAGAGAAAACAATACAGGGGGGGCTCCCTCTATCTCTCTGAACCAGCAAACAAAACCAGTGACCTAATCACCCACAGGTAAGGAAACAAGCTGAAAAAGGCAGCAACACCAAGCAACCCTCAAAAACTCTCATGCATGCGGCGGACCCATGTGCACTGCCAACCCATGTGCACTTTTTTTCACTTTTTATTCTATTTTTTTTTTTGACAGGTTAATGGATTGAAACTATCAACCCATGTGCACCTCTTTCTCTCTCCTCCCTTTTCTTTTTTAATCACACCTTACCAAACGAATCTCAAGGATATCTCCAAGTGGTCTGCAAAGAAGATATTACATTCTCCAACAGGTTAATGGATTGAAACTATCAACCCATGTGCACCTCTTTCTCTCTCCTCTTTTTTCTTTTTTAATCACACCCTACCAAACGAATCTCAAGGATATCTCCAGGTGGTCTACCTTTTAATTTTTTTTTATTACTATTATTATTATATCAAATAATCAATACACCCCACTTTACCTTTATTTATTTTATTTTATCTTTCCTTTTCATTTCCAAAAAAAAAAAATATTGTAGAAATGTAGAAATTGATGTATAAAGAAATACAGAGAGAATAATCTATTGATGTATTATTGTTTGATTTATGTTGTTGATTACATTGATTCATATATATAGAAGAGAAGAAGGTAGTAGGTGAAGTGTAGTAGGTGAGGAGTAGGTGAGGAGTAGGTGGTGGTAGGTGATGGTAAATTTTAACAAATATATATATATATATACACACACGTGAACCCATCTCTTAATCTCCTCTATTTGATTTCAAAACCACTTTTAATCTCTTTCACATACCCACGTGAACCAATTTTTTTTTTCCCTCACTCTCTCGTTTTGATTTCCCATATATTCTTATTATTTCTTTCTTTTTT